GAAAAAAAAAATTTAAAAAAAAAAAAAAAAAAAAAAAAGAAATGCTTACTGAAATATTTGTGGATGGAAGGATGTGATATCTGGCATTGCCTTAAAATATTCCAACCCATACCCAGAGAAGGGCATATGTGGAAAAGAGAGGGACAGACATGAAGTGTGATTGGCAAAATGCTGGTGATTGCTGGTTAGGTCACAGGTACAGGGGCCTTCTTTGTCCTAGTCTCTCCACTTTTTTTTTGTTGTTGAAATTTCCATAATAAAACACATGAGCCATCACACACAAATCTAGGACTCCTGCTTTGGTCCTTTGAGACACTTTTTCTAAGCAGAAGCCATCACTAACTGGGGAACAATTTAGAAAACAAATCAAAACAAACTTGCTCTGTATTTCAAAATGCCTCCTAGTGTGTTAACGCTTCCCTGTGACAGCAGGGCTGGTATGAGACGGGCCCTGCTCTTGCATCACAGACGCCCTCTGAGGTCTTTACTCTGACAAAGCAGAGAAATCACAAGTCCTTTGGCCTTGGACTGTGACCTATGCTCATTGTTTCCCAGAGGGTATTCACAGCATACTAGTGCCTGAAAATAGTTCATGAAAGCCTAAGTGATCAGATAGTAGACATTTGGGAGTTGCTAACTCCCGTGGTTTTCTTTATCACAGAGCTTCTCAGAACCTTTATATGTCATCTGCATTGTGACTCTCCAGAGGGTCACGGAGTGTTTCTATAGTGTGCCTCCGTGACCACTTCCTCGTCCATCAAGAGGGAGAAGGTCTGGGAAAGAAAACAGTCCAGATGCTTAGCTTTATTGAGAGAACGAAGATTGCCCGTAATCTGTTGTAGATTGCCGGCATACCTGTTTCATTTTGGACTTTTCATAGAGGTCAGAATTAAGAGTGACCTTGAAAATATTCAGGGAGCTCACTACCTCCTGGGTAGCTAAGCTCCCTTCTGTCTCAACGTGATGTTAACAGTTGAAGATTTTTTAACTTAACTGGGTAAAGAGCCCCAGTTGTTTTCTTTGTTCCCCAGGTGTCTTCATCTCTGTATCCCCTCCACATCCAGGTGCTTACCGGTCCAAAAGTGAGTCCTCCGAAAGGAATGTAAAGTGCTGTCTGCCTGCAGTAGAGCACACTAGAGTGTACCTTGGGTCGCTCTGTAATGCCACCTAATGTTCTGTTAGCTATTCTCACGGCTGCAGCATACTGTTGTTTGCTCAGGTAAACTTGTGCTTGACTGTAACCCCTCGCCAACTGCTGTTAAGCTGGGTCTCCCTCCTGCCAAACTAGTTCCAGGAGATGTTCTAAGAAAAAGAGAGTTGTGAGACCACACGAGGTTGGGACATGCTAACTAGGCATCGAGTAGGAACTTAAGTAAGAGGTCATTATTCCTGTGACCATCTGTGTTGGCAGATAATCTGGCTTATTCGTCCCTGAATCACCTGGCACGGGGTCTGATTCCTGTGGCACTCGGTGAACATTGGTGGAATTAATGAAAGAAAAGATGGGCTGCGTCTAGCAGCACGTCAGCTTCTTATCTAGCCCAGCTTGTGTCGCTAATCTTGTATTTTGCCCCAGTCACTGAAAAAGCTCGTCTCCTGGCCCAGCTTCACCAGTCACAGATGTGGCAACCCTAAGGCAGGTCCTGTCCTCATCCGTAAGCCTGGGTCTCAGAATTTTCTTAGTTCTCATTGATACTCTTCTCCTCCTTCAAAATCTTTTTCAGTTATACTTTCTTCCTCAGGTTTCTCCCCATTCTAAGACCCTGCATCCATTCCTTCTAGTAAACCGGGAGATAGAGACACATTCTCCCACCCTTTTATGACTTGTAGCAACATGTTCTGGGAACACAAAATGCGTGACTCCTCCAGTACGTGTGCCCCTGCACAACTCCGCGGGTCACCAAAGCCATCGCTGGTTCAGTGACCTGGTGGGGAGGGGAGTGCATTTTATGTTTTTTGTTGAGTTTTGTTCTGCCTTCCACCCTCGAGATCTTTAATTGCTCTGAAGTAAGCATACTCATCAATGTTTATTATTATTTTATTTAAACAATCACACCTTTATATAGAAAGATTGGATGTATAACATGAAAACTTTTTTCTCACTCACTTGAGACCTAATGCTCCATCACTCCTGAATGCTTTAATGTCTATTTCCTACGAATAAGGCTTCTCCTGCATAAACACCTTGTAACCACCTGAATCAGGAAATGGTCACTTATGCATTATTACCTTCTGATTCTCAGACCCCTTTCAAGTTTCATGGGGTTGTTTTTTTTGTTTTGGGGGGTATTTTTTGAGAGAAAGAGTGAGCAGGGAAGGGGGAGAGGGAGAGAGAGAATCCCAAGCAGGCTCCATGCCTAGTGCACAGCCCAACGCGGGGCTCCATCCCACAACTGTGAGACAGCAACCTGAGCCAAAATCAAGATTTGGGTGCTTAACCAACTGAGCCACCCAGGCACCATCTACCTTTTTCTTTTCTTTCTTTTTTTTTTTTTTTTTAAGTAATTTCCACACCCAGCATGGGGCTCGGACTCACAGCCCCGAGATCAAGAGTCACATGCTCTACCGACTGAGCCAGCCAGGCACCCAACCGCATTCAAGTTTTACCATTTGTCCCAGTGTCCTCTGTACTAGCAAAAGGATCTATTACAGGCTCAATTGTTGCATTTAGTTTTCATGTCTCATTGGTCTCCTTCAATCTATTGCATCCTATCAAGTGGTGCACGCTGCCATTTTGTCCCATTACTGTCTACACTTTGGTCACTAGATGAAGGTGGTTTCTGCCAGACTTCTTGACTATAAAGTTATTTCTCTCCTCTTTGAAATCAGTAAGTATTTTCTGGGGAGGTATTTTGAAACTCTTTAAAACTACTGCATTCCTCATCAGACTTTGAATGTATTCATGTATTTATTTGTATCTGTATAGACTCATGGTCCTGTTTTATGCAATGGATATAATCTGTTGCTATCGTTATTTATTTTGATGCTCAAATTATCACCAACTTGGCCAGTGGGAGCCCATTCAAGTTGGTTTCTGTGTCTTTTTGACTCATCCTCATTTTTTGAGTGCTTTCTTACTTTCTGGTATGAAGTAGTTTAGGCTCATCTTGTTCTTTCCCTGCTGTAACCCTGGAATTGGCTATTTACCCAAAAAACTCTGATTCATTTTAGTGGAAAATGGTATATAGACACCAAGATCTGAGCACTTAGGCATGCTCATTTCTATTGAGGTGTCACTACTCCTTGGTTCACTCAGTGGACAGAGCTGGGGAATATTTGTGTGCTCATGTATATACATATATACTCATTTGTATCTCTACTAAATGAAAACTATGTATTCATAGTGCTACCTCACAACAAGGATCATTCTAGAACTTTCTCTTTCAATGTTTCTCATTCCCTTTCCTGACTGTGAGAAACTTGGTTCCGACTATCCTTAATATTTTTACTTAATTGATCAACCCCCTGCGTGTAACCAGTCTTCCATTTTCACCACCACCCCCTTCCCTGCTCAGACATACTCCTCTCTCAAGCTCAGGCTGTCACTCCCCATTCCACGCCACCCCCACGTGGACCCTTACCTTACAGGACTTGGTCACCAGCACCCCCTGCCAGGTGATTTTTCACATGCAGACAAGTAACGCCCCTAAACATCTCTTCCCACCTCTGCTAAAACAAATAGCCCCTGCATGTGTTTGTATGTGTTGCGTGCATTCTCAAATGTGTCATTGTCTGTCTTGAAAAGCGTGAGGGAAGAAGTGTTTTGGAGGAACTACTTTTACCGCGTGTCCCTGATAAAGCAGTCAGCCCAGCTCACCGCCCTGGCCGCCCAGCAGCAGGCTGCCGGGAAGGAGGAGAAGAGCCACGGCAGAGACGAAGACTTGCCAATGACAGGTATGCTGGGAGAAGACTTGACTCAGTGTAAAACAAAGAGTTACTGTAAAAATATTTTTAACTCAGAGACTCTCATGAGCTTGTCATCTTGTGTATACCAAAAATGTCATTGTCATCTTCTGGAAAATTCTTTCTTTTCCCGAGGAAAGAGTCATTCTCCTTGTCCTCTCTCTGACCCTGCTCCTACGTCTTCCCCCAAGCTCTCCTTTCCTTCACTTTCTTTTTCTTGTTCTTCGGGTTTTTTATCTCTTCCTTTTTATTTCTCCCTTAGTCACTAGTCCTCTTTCCATCTCTTTCTTGGCCCTTTACCGCATAGCATTTCATAGCCTGTGTCCTCCACTGATTCAGGCCATCGCTTTTCTTGGTTTTTCTGCCTTCTGTTCAAGCTGGTGTTCTCCTAGTACTGTAATCTGTAGAGCTCCATTCCACTCCAGGTTGCCAGTGTCTGACTCAGACTGAGGCACCGTCCCATTGCACATTGCACTCTTGGGACAATTGACCCCTCATTGCTGGGGAAGTGTTTTAAAATATTAGCAACAAGTGAAGATCTGTAATAGCAATTAAAATAAGAATGGTATTTTATGTCACATTTGTCACATTTAATGAACACCTGTGTATAGGTGCTAATTACAACTAGAGACTTACCTGTTCATAGAATTTTAAATAATTAAGCAAAACCATGTATCCTAAGGCACAGGCTGTACAGACCACTAGAAAAGAACTTGACACTGCATTTAGGGTCAGGGAAGTGGAATGAGGTTGCTCTACACAGTACAATTTGGCATTTTGCATATAAAGAATCCCAGTTGTGTATTATTCTTTGCTTTTTGTTTTCATTAATTTTATTGGGAAATGCCATGTAACCAAATACTGCCTGTGTAACAAAACAGGCTTAAGACAGGGTTCGATAAAGACTATACACCTAGTAAGGTTCACAAGGTAGAAAATGCTGTGACTGAGCATTGCACTTTGCTTTGTGCTTTCTAGCATTCGTGACAAAAGGAAAATCTGATAAATAACTGAATTCTCATTATCCTAAAAGAAGGAGTATAACTCTTCCTGAATTTGACTTCGGCTAACACTGAAGTCAAAATTTATTTCTTGCTTGGAAATCTTAAAAGAGGTGCATCAAATAGGATGACCTGTAAAAATATCCCCAAAAGAAAGAGGTTGAGATGGTGTCACCTAGCTTTTTCTTAAAAGCATAACATAAAAGCTCATTTATGAAAATTATTTAGTATCGTCATATTTGTGGCTACTTTAGTTGTTACTATAATATGTATTCGGAATTGAATCAAGCCATTTTTATCTCTTTTATTCTCACTTCTTAGAGGCAGTACGGCCCAAAACACCGCCTGTCGTAATCAAATCTCAGCTTAAAACTCAAGAGGTAATACAGTTTTACATTGTACCTAGTAGTTGATGTCTGGAAGTGAAGTAACTCTGTGTTAACTGTCTCAGATCCCATTTGAAACTACTTATGAATACGGGTCTTAGCTGTTTTGAAGAGGGTTCCAGCAGTTGTACAGTTAGGGACATGTAGCTGAGACCTAAGGCGGTTCCTTGGCATCGGTCATTCTAGATGTGCTCTCAGGAATTGGACCTAATGACTGGAGTGGCCCGAACTGAGGGAGAGCATAGTGGATTCAGGTGGTAGCTCATCTGGTGCCCACGCAGCTGTGTAGGTTAGAAGGCCGGAGAACAGCGAGCATCCGACTAGTGGAGGAAGGACATGAAAGTGATGTTGTGCTAAATGCTACATAGAAAACCATTCTAAGCTCGTTTGTTGCATTTCAGGATGAAGAGGAGATTTCTACCAGCCCAGGGGTTTCTGAGTTTGTCAGCGATGCCTTTGATAGCTGTAACTTAAATCAGGAGGATCTAAGGAAGGAAATGGAGCAACTGGTTCTTGACAAAAAAGAGGAGGAGACAGCCGTAGTAGAAGGTACCAAACAAAGCAAATAGCTGTGCTCTTTTCCAGTTCCAAAGCTGGTTGTAGAAAATGTCATTCTGAAGCAGATCTACGGACATACTGTAACTTCTGCATCAGAATTGCTTCTCTGCCGTTAGAAGGTAGCTTCTAGCACGTGTGACCAGACCTCACATTCCCCTGTCTGACGCATGCACCGGAGTGTAGAGAGGAGAAACTGAGCCCAGAGAGGTTATATGATTGGTCCAAGGCACCTGAGCCCCAAGAACATGGGGACAGCAACAGGCGACAGTGCATGCCCTTTCACTTAGAGACACTGCCCTCCAGCCTTCTGCTTGGGCTTATACTTACATATAGAGGATTCTTTTCCTCACTGCTGTGTGCCACAAGAGCATTGCTTCTGGGAAGGAGCAGGCTGCCTTCAAAAAACAAAAAGAATTTCGAGACAAAGTACAAGTGGAAGGAGGGGAGGCTGCTTTCTTTGGCACATCAGGGCGAACGACTGGCTTTCTACTGGATGAAAAGCAAAGGCTCAGGTTAATCATCATCACATTAAGAGTGTTTATGAAGCCTTCTGAGGTTTCAAATGCACCCAGAGAGTCAGCTATTCACCCGGTTGTACAGAGAGCACCCGTGAGAAAAGTAGCCTCCCAGAGGTGAACCGGAACCCTGTTTGCGCACCACGGAGGGACTCTGGGGGAGAGGCTTGGGAAGGGAGGTGGAGGGAAGAGCTTCTGGGAGAAAGAGAAGGCCAGAGGGGAAGTGAAAACTCGGGCTCACTAGGTGCCTCAGACCCCTCCCACCCCCATCTGTTTTCTGATAAAGCTGGCTGCCGGACCCCTCGCGAGGACAGCACGCAAGAGCCCCACGAGCCCCGCGTGTTGTAGGCAGTCCTAGGGCAGGCTGTGCACCGCTTCCCTTTTTGCCGGCGATGGCTGGTAGCAGAGGCCCCACAGGAAACTGGAAGTCTCCCTGCAGCAGGATTCATTAGGTGCTGGCTGGCTGCTCTGAGCAATCTGTTCTTTCACTGAATTCCTGCCCGATTTTTAATTTGGACCACGTAATATTCTTATACATATTCATTATCTTGCCCCCGCACCTAAACTGTAAGTTCTTCAAGGGAGTTACACCTTGTTCTTGTTATCCCCACGGTACCCCACCAACATGGAGTCTGGCACCCGGTAAGCAGCATACTGTGTCCTTTCCCTTGAGGTCCTGCTGCCAAAAAAATTAAAAATTTGGTTTTGGTTTTTCTTTTCTCTATAGCTACTAAGTTTAAGGTTTTTTTAAAAAATAAAAATGGGGGCGCCTGGCGGGCTCAGTCACTGGAGCGTGTGACCCTTGATCTCAGGGTTGTGAGTTCAAGCCCCATGTTGGCCATAGAGATCACTTAAAAATGAAATCAATTTTAGCCTTGCTTTTTAAATAGCTGGTTTGTTTGTTTTCTGTTTTTTAACACAACATAGCAGATGCTTTCTCGTCTACATACATACATGCATGTACATACGTACACACACACACACACACACCTATATTGAGTGTCCAAGCAGAAAGTTGCGGTTCTGAATGTCGGCTCGGAAGAGGAATAAACCCAGTGTGAGGGGCCAGGCTTCAGCAGGAGACCTCCTGACTTCAGGTTCTGGTAATTGTTGCCGATCTAGGGAGACCACTGCTAACGTGCTTTCACAGAGACTGAAGCCTCCGATCTGCCTCCGTCTGTATGTCTGTTGCTATCAAACTGTGTGTTCTTAGGCAAGCCACTTAACCTCTCTAAGCCTCTGTTTTCCACCATGTAAAATGTGCAGCAGGATATCTAGTCCCTGGATTGTTCTCAGGGTGAAAGAAAAAAAGTGGTATGTAGAAAGCAGTTAGTACAGTGCCTGGCCCTGAGTGCTCAAGAAACATTAGCTGTTTTTTTCTGCCATCGTCGTCATTGATAGCAGTAAAAATCAGTTTGCAACCGCATATTAATTATCAATTATCCACTTAAATATAAGGAAAAGCAGAGGTTTTAGTAAAGCAAAATAACACCTGAACTTAGGGCTCTTAACAAGTTTATCTTTCTAATCCTATTTCCCTTTGGTTATTGTTAAAATTTGGTCCACTTTTCTGAGCACACGCAGTGAGGAAACCTGAGACGTTAAACGTTACCATGGCAGGGACTTCCACAGGTAATTATACGCGACCGAATTGTTAAAACTGGCCTTATGAATCTTTACCTTCTCAATTGTTTCTTTCAGAGGAGTCTGCAGATTGGGAAAAAGAACTACAACAGGAATTGCAAGAATATGAAGTGGTGACAGAATCAGAGAAACGAGATGAAAACTGGGATAAGGAAATAGAGAAAATGCTGCAGGAGGAAAATTAGCTCTTTCCTGAAATAAAAGAATAATCCTTAACATTCTATTAACTGACATTAAATTCTAGATGATGACGTTCGCTGAATTAGAAGGCAGAGAAGATTGGTATAACTTTATGAAATTCAAAATTATTCTTTTTTCAAGCTGAAACTTGCCTTTTCTGCTTTTAAAAAAAAACATAGGACAGTTATTCTAATATTCAAAAAGAGATGTTTTATGTAATATTTCTTTAATATAAATCTAGTTAGAGATGTTCATGTAGTCAGGATGGTATCTTTGCCACAGAAACGCTTTTCTGTGAGGTCAGAATTATAATTTATTCTTCAATTGTGGTTTTCTAAACATTTGTACTTCTTGTTGCATTTTCATTGCTACATACATGTACAGTATGTTACAGTACTTAATGGATTGATAACTATCAAAATGACCAAATTGTACCAAAGAACTTAAAAAGAAGCACTTTCAAGACTATTTTCTTGCTAGATATTTTCTAAAATTCCATCTAGAAACCTAAGGATAAGATAATTGTTAATTTTAATGGTATAAACATCACACAATTTGACATTGAGAAATACTGTGCAAAAACATTTTTTTTTTCCCCTCTGGGGCCTTTTCTTTCTTTCTTATTGTTTGTTTGTTTGTTTGTTTGTTTGTTTAACTATACCACACTTAATATTTTTGCTTTCCTAAATTTCACATCACGGTTTTTGTAGAAAGCGGGGCATTTTGTCCTTTTTATATTAATGATCTTCAAGAAGCCCATTCACCTTACAGTCTCTTGTTTTTGTGAAAATCATCACCACATATAAATGTTTCAGCTTTGTTTGTCTTAATTAAACTGTCAGTCTTTATAAAAGTGTGTTCCTCTGAGTACAACTTAGGGAACTTCACTGCTCAATCCCACCACACCAGCAGGCCCGTGTTTATAGACTATGGTTATTTTAAAAGAACAAGGTGGCTTAATGTCACAACACTTCCAAGGCATTTACTTCCTGAAACTTTTATATTTTGCAAGGAACCTTTATTTCATACAAGGGAAGAGGATTATGACAATCCTTTATAGGAAAAATGTACATATTTATACTGTGGACACCATAAAAATTAGTCCCTGGTCCTCTGGCAAAGGTATAGTCAATGAGAGAACTGGGTCCAAGAGCTTTGCTCTTGTTTGGAGCTTGGTGTACACGCTTGTGAGTGAACCAGACTGTCTCGGTAGGATCCCTTGGATTATAGCAATAAACGCACGTACTCTACGAAACCACTGACCCCACTGTCAAGGGATTTCCACTGCGGTGTCACAGTTGCTGATTACTGAGTTCGGGTTCAGAGACTGTGATTGGCAACTTCTAAAATAACCCTGTTGAGGGGAAAATTTGGTTTGTTTGTTTTTAATCAAGTTTTCTGGAGGGCAAGAAACACGTAAAATGCCTTTAAGTAGCTGAAAAGCCTGGATGTAAGCAGATCAGAATATGATAGCACTTAGCTCTTATATGCACTAGCATTCATATTGTTGAATAAACAGAAAAAAAGCTTTCAGAGAAAGTAAAAAAAAAACTTAAAATGACAATAGACATGTTACAGTTATTACTGTCAACTTTACATTATACTCTTATTGCATTTAAAAACAACCTAACTGCCACTGCTCTATGAAAATAAAAGGATAAAATGATTTTATACACAGCATAAAAATAGTTATGCTCTATTTTTATGATTCAAATAGGAGTAAACTTATGCTTTTATAAATGACACAGGTTACTGAAGTGTATTCCTTTTTTTTTTTTTTAATATTTTTGAGAGAGTGCTTGTGGGGGAGGGACAGAGAGAGGGGGAGAGAGGATCCCAAGCAGGCTCTGTGCTGACAGCAGTGAGCCCGATGTGGGGCTCGAACTCAGGAACCGTGAGATCATTATCTGAGCTGAAGTTGGATGCTCAACCGACTGAGCCACCCAGGTGCCCCTGAAGTGTATTCTTTTAAAGGGAGAAATAATTTGTAACTGTGTTTAGTGAAAGATTTGTATTTATTACATGCCTTGGGGGTAGGCAACAAGCTATACTGAGCATAAGAACACGCAAGCTTCTTAGAACGCTGACATGGAAACCTACTTCTTCACTACGTGGGGATTATACCTCACTACTCAGAGTGCGGCCCAGGAGCCAGCAGTGGCCTGCCCTGGGAGTTTGCTACGATTGCAGGGTCTCGGGCCCGGCCACAGATTTGCTGCCCCAGGTTGCACGTTACCAAGATCCTCCGGGATTAGAATGGGCTTTACAGGGGCGCCTGGCTATTTCAGTCAGTGGGGCGTGCGACTCTTGATCTCAGGGTTGTGAGTTCCAGCCCCACGTTGAGTGTAGAGATTACTTAAAAATAAGTCTTTGGGGGGGAAAAAGGATGAACTTTACAGTTTGAGGCACATTGGACTAACGTACTCAGGCACTCAGGGCAGCCAAGGTTGTTGGTGCTTTTTACTTTTCCCTTTCCACTAGCGTCCTTGGATGATGGTATCTTTCTAGCTGGTGTTACAGACCCCTCTGCTGTTCCAGGTTTCCAGGGGGACCAGGACTACTCCTGTTCAGTCAGATATCTCTAATATCACACATTCCAGAGGAAAATGACAACACTACAAAGCGCAGAGATCTGGCTCTCTGCGAACTGCTTCACACGTTGATGAGTTTTCTCTGAGGTTCTTGAGCGATATCAGAGGGCTCATGTCCCCTGAAGGCTAAAAAGGATGATGGGTGGCGCCGTGTATGGCATGTTTATGCACATGAAATCAAGTAAAAATAGTCGAAAGGGTAGTAGAGTATCAACCTATGTCTTTAAAGCCAATTTTCGGTACATGAGTGTTACTATGCAGAAATTTGCACTGTGTTTATTTGTAGTCCCAGCAGTTTATGGCAAGCGGGTGAAAACCGTTGCTGCAGCCAACTCAGTCACAAGGTCGGAACTCCATTTGTGCAAGAGTGGTAACTTCTACAAAGTGGGAAATCTCCATTTGTAATTTTTGAAAAGTTAAACCAAAGAACCTTATCTTTTAGGAAATAAAGCAGCAATTATACTTGTGACTTACAGTGCTTTCAGATGCCCTACAGTAACCAAGATGGTTTTTCATGCTCAAACTATTACAAATAGGATTTTTAGGACATTTTAAAGGTTTACAAAACAACAACAACAACAAAAACCCCTCATGATCACATCTACCTTGCAATGTTTCATTTCCCTCCTTGACTGGTTTGGTATAAAAATCAGGACTGTGAATGTGCTTCTATAATTTTTTTTTTTACGTTTATTTATTTTTGAGACAGAGACAGAGCATGAACGGGGGAGGGTCAGAGAGAGAGGGAGACACAGAAACTGAAACAGGCTCCAGGCTCTGAGCTGTCCGCACAGAGCCCGACGCGGGGCTCGAACTCACGGACCGCGAGATCACGACCTGAGCCGAAGTCGGCCGCCCAACCGACTGAGCCACCCAGGTGCCCCAATATAATTTAAATAATTTGATGGAGTTCTTTCCAGTAATAGTGAGATTTTTCCCTCCATTTTAAAGTAAAGATAAACCTTTTTCATCTGTGAAAATTAGGTGCATTTAATTTTAGCAAATTTATTTTTCAGCTTTTAAAAATATAAGTGGCAGAAATTTGGGTACCGTTTATATAATCAGTTTTATTGAGGGGGAAACAGTCCTTTTTAATAAATGATTATCTCCAGACTATGTTGATAGGAAAATAAAATTACAAAATGCATGTTACAATACCCGAGAAAGATGGTGCTTAGAAAACTAATGAGTCATGACAGATGACAAATATATATTCATGAAGCTTTAATCACATGCGGTTATTTCAAAGTTATCTGGTATGTAAGCTTGTGTTGTTAGGATTAAAACTGCTGCGGGGCGCCTGGGTGGCTCAGTCGGTTAAAAGTCCGACTTCGGCTCAGATCATGATCTCATGGTTCGTGAGTTCAAGCCCAGCATCAAGCTCTGTGCCAACCGCCTGGAGCCTGCTTTGGATTCTGTGTCTCCCTCCCTCTCTGCCACTCGCCCTCATCTCCCTCTCCAAAATAAACATTAGGGAAAAAAATTAAAACTTCCTTGAGAAAGTACTGAGTTTTAAGAACACATTTTGCTTTCACTGTAGACTTCTACTCAAGTGCAGTGGGTTGTCCTTCATAATAAATCATTCTAACCCAGTCAGATCTTTCATTCTAAAGCTATCGTGGGGTTTTTCCCTCCTCCACTAGTTATAATACGTATTGATCGATCTTGTTCTTTCCTGATAACCATGATGGGCACTGATTGTGCTTTCTGCTAGCTAGAGCTAAAACTCAAGGTGAGCCAGTTCTCATTAAAGCTGAGGGAAAAAATTAAGCCCGTGACCTAACAGGGGCATCCAGCGGGCTCAGTCGGGGAGAGCATGCGACTCTTGGGGTCATGAGTTCGCATCCCACTTTGGCCCAAGAGCTTACTTAAAAAAGAAAATAAAAAAGCGTGTGACCTAATAGAACAGATCAGTTCAACGTAATAGAGGATTTTGGTGACTACTACTGATACATCCACATGATAATCATGAAAATAGCCATTAAGAACATAATATTATTCTCTGCCATCGCTTAGTGCAAAAATCCAGATGCAGCAAAATGGCCACATCGTTCAACAATATTAACTCTTTCATGAAGACACTGTAGGCTATAAATGTGATGTGAGAACTGCGTATCCCACTACCGAAAGAGTGTGGCAGAAGATACATTAGGGCGCCTGCCTGGCTGGCTCAGTTGGAGCGTGTGGCCCTTGATCTCAGCATCGTGAGTTCAAGCCCCACATTGGGTGTAGAGTTTACTTAAAAAAAAAGAAAAAAATGCCACCAGAAAGATTAGTGTCCTTTGGTAATTGAACAGAACACGTGCTTGTGAAATTAAGGCATGAAAAGAGACACTATTAAATCTGACAACACACAAAGTAATTTCATAACAAGAACCTGGGATGCACGTCTTAAGAGTCCGAAGTACCACACTTTTAGAACCGGCTGAGCCAGTAGATTTATTGGCCTAGGGCAGTGACCCTGAACTTGAGAACTACCTGGGAGCTTGAAAAATGCTGATGCCCAACCTCCACCCCCAGAGAGACTAACTGGTTCCGGATGTAGCCTGGGCGTAGGTTTTTTTTTTTTTTTTTTTTTTTTTT